GACTTGGTCCAGGAGCAATGCATTCACATATACATATACACATTATAAATACAGAGGATATACAGAGAACTCCAATCTGGTCATGACATGACTCAGCCATGTGAGTTCAGGGACAAATCTCTTAGTTTCTTTTGTCTTTATTTCCTGTAAATGTTTGCCCAGGAAGTTTCTAAGATCCTCTCTAAGTTTTAATGCTACCGTGTTCACTGTTCAAACTTTTAAAGTTTAACAAACTAATCCTAAATCACATTACATGCTTACACAATATGTAATAAGTGTAAACACTACAATATTATGTAGGAGTCCAACTAAACTGTACTGTCATTTAACAAGTATAAAAGATGGAAGGTGTTTCCTACGGAAAAGAACATACAGAATTTGCTTCATGTCAAGGCATGGGAACGTCAAACTCTAGTGACTGTTCTGACAAGTACCTGAGATGACTGCACAGTGCACTTCCTGGCAGAAAGGGGGCTCAGTGGGTAAGAGAGGGCATTTGCTAACAAGTCCAACAACCTGAATCTGATCCCAGCACTCACTCAGTGGAGAGAACGGACTTTCCACAAGTTGGCCTTTGACTGCCACACACATGCTGAGGCGCAGGAATAGGTCCTATGCGCGCACACACAAGCAAATACCATTTAAAAAGTTTCTTTCCAATACTGCTGTTCTATGGAATATGATATGACAGTAGTAAGTTTGAATAGCAACTTAAAACTCTGATGTGTAGCCAAACCCAAAGCTTATTTATCAATTTGGTGAGACTGGCTGGACACTGAGCTTCAGGGATCTGCCTGTCTCTGACTGAGTGCTTCCCTGCTGAGGCTGGGATTACAGGCACATACCACGTCACGTGTTGTGCTTGTATGGCAGGGGCTTCATCAAATGAGACACCTCCCAAGTCCCTGCCTATCTTCTTGATGAATGTGACTATTTCATTTATAAAGAAATGGTTCTCTTGGGCTGGAGAGATGGCTCAGAGGTTAAGAGCGCCGACTGCTCTGCCAGAGGTCCTGAGTTCAATTCCCAGCAACCACAAGGTGGCTCACAGCCATCTGTAATGAGATCTGGTGCCCTCTTCTGGAAGCAGAATGTTGCATACATAATAAATAAAATCTTAAAAAAAAGAAAAAAAAAAGAAAAAAGAAGTGGTTCTCTAGCAATAGTCAGAGACTGGGGAGGGGTAAGAGTTCAGGCAGGATTCAGGGCACAAAGAGGCAAAAGAAGACATGGATCAGGTTTCTCTCGAAGGTTTAGCTTTCCACCTTCTGGAAGATCATGCTGGTTTTACAAGTTCAGGAGACACTGGCACAGATGTTTCCTTGCACTTCACAATCAAGAGGCTGGTGAAAAAGAGATGCCTTTGGGAGCTCTATCATCCCTGACCTCACAGATGCACAGGGACAGGTGAGAAATGGCAGCCTCCATCTGGGTGGACCACTTCTGAAGAGTATGGAAGGGCATGCATGGAGAGAGCCAAAAGTTGCGGTGGCTGGTTTTAGAGGCAGGAAATAGGTAAGATGTTCCTGGGGGATGCTGTTACCACTGGGAGGAGGTCCGTTCCAGGCACACGCTGGTGAAGCTAAAGGCACACGTGCAGAAGCTCTGGAGTTTGTTCTTTCCCGTGTGATCTTGTGCGGCCTTTCTCACCTCCCCATTTCACAATAACAAGTACTCGTGCAATTTGATTCAGTTTTAAAGGTGTAAATCTGTGATATATATTTAGGGTAATAGAATCCTCAAAAAATTACTTGTATTTTATGTATGAGTGTTCTGCATGTACACCTGCAGGCCAGAAGAAGGCATCAGAGTCTATTATACTATAGATGGCTGTGAGCCACCATGTGATTGCTGGGAATTGAACTCAGGACCTCTAAAGAGAAGCCAGTGCTCTTAACCTCTGAGCCATCTCTCCAGCCCCAGGGTAATGCAATTTTTATTATACTAATATTATGGAGCAATTCTCTAACATGTCCAAATTTACACATGTACAACTTTCATATTTTAACTCACTGGAGGAGGCAGGAGAAATGGCTCAGTGGCCAAGGTCACTTGTTGTTCTTGTAAGGCAACTATCCACTTGATGGCTCATAACCACCACCTGTAACCCCAGTTTCAGAGGATCTGACGGCCTCTTTTGACCTCTCTAGGACGCATGTGGTACTCATGTACGCAAAACACGTTTTTACAGATTGTCCAGATGCTGTCATTTATCTCTACACAGCAGGTGTATCACAATGAATGCTCACTGTTCAGAACTTTACCTGTGTGAGAGAGTTGTCTTCACCTTGCTTCTTCTTTTTCTTCTTCTTCTTCTTGGATTTTCCAGTTGCAAGAGCTCCCTCTCCCTTTTCTTTATCATCATCTGAAACCTGACGTTAAAAGCAAAATACTGAAGTAAACCCAACAAGTTTATATTACTCACAACAATTACTCTAAAATACCTTCAGTCACTATGTTTGGTCTTTATCTTCCAAAACCTAATAAGAATAAGCTACGACTAACAAAATTTTAATAAACCTTACATTAATTAAGAACTCACTGGATAGAAACAGGAGGATCTGGACTTGAAGGCCAGCTTGGGCTGGAGGAGGTTCCTCAAACATGCCCTGTCAACATTACCAACAACTCTCAAACCCCAGATCCCATTCTTAAAGCACCTCCAGGACAGGACAACTACCTTCAATTCTGACCATTCGATTTTCTAGAAATTTACATAAAGGATGTAAAATTTTATACAAACAGATCTTGCTTACTGCTTAGTGTACTTTCGAGCATCTATTCATATTTAACATAAATTCACCCCCTCTCTCTTTTCTTTGCAGGGTTAAGGATTGAATCCAGGGCTTGGTGGCCAGCTTAGCAGCACAAACATCCACATCTCTCAGTAGACTTCAAACTGTAGTCTAGACCCTTCTCATTTACAGATATATTAAAGCAGAGGCTAGTAAACCA